TGTTGAGACAGAATCTTGCTCTGTCACCCAGGCTGGAGTACAGTGGCGCAATCCCGGCTCACTAAAACCTCCACCTTCCAGGTTCAAGCAATTCTTCTGCCTCAACCTCCCAAGTAGCTGAGACTACAAGCATGTGCCACCACGCCCAGCTAATTTTTGTATTTTTAGCAGAGACCGGGTTTCACTGTGTTAGCCAGGATGATCCCGATCTCCTGACCTTATGATCTACTCACCTTGGCTTCCCAAAGTGCTGGGATTCCAGGCATGCACTGCGCCTGGCCCTCATGGTTTACTATTATATTAATCTCTCCCAATTTTTATCAGGGTAGACTATCTGGAGAGGTGAAACCCCTGAATTTTCTCAGAGCATCCCTAGTCTTCCTAAGTTGCACTCTCCTGCCTTTTATTTTGTTTCAGCCTAAGACAGTCCCTTTTAAGGTGTCCCAGTATTTTACAGTAGTAACAGACTGGGAGAGAAGAGTCATCAGACCCAGGGAGCTTAAAATATTTCTGGGGCTGAGGGGTTTTAGCAGTTAATTGCTTTAGCTATAAATTTATAACTTGCTTTTCATTTTTTATCATAGTGCAGAATAATTGGTCAGCTAAGTTAACTAGTTCATTAGTCCTGACAATGGCCCAATTTGTCATGTGACATTTTATAAGGGTGGCTTGTAAAATCTAGTCCATTTAAGCAATTTGCACTTAATAATGTATTTTTTTTTTTTTTTGAGACGGTGTTTCGCTCTGTTGCCCAGGCTGGAGTACAGTGGTGTGATCTTGGCTCACTGCAACCTCTGCCTCTCAGATTCAAGTGATTCTCTTGTCTCAGCCTCCCGAGTAGCTGGGACTAGAGGTGGGTACCACCACGCACATCTAATTTTTGTATTTTTAGTAAAGACGGGGTTTCACCATGTTGGCCAGGCTAGTCTTGAACTGCTGACCTCAGGTGATCTACCCACCTTGGCCTCCCAAAGTGCTGGGCTTACAGATGTGAGCCACCGTGCCTGGCTAATTTTCATTGTTTTCAAAGCTATCAGCTGACATCCCGCAATACTGTCTCAAAGTTTATCAAAACATGTGAAATAAGCTACAACTGATTCATTTGGGTTCTGGTGGCATTGTTGGATTTTATTCCAATCTACAACGCTTTGGAACACTAAAGGAATGATATTTAACAGAGCAGTCGCTCATTCCTGCACATCTTTGCTCCTGTCTTCTGGATTTTGGGGGGGCTGGTTGTTGCAGCTCTATTGGGCCTTCAGGGGTCAAATCTGCCATAGAGTCCAATCACTGCTTTTTCCAGCTGTTCTTAGCTTTAGCTTCTGAGACCAACATGTGGACTAGTTCATAAAGGTCTGTTTGACCTGGGACCACAGGTTCTGATAATGAGCTCAAATTCTTGGGCAAACCCAGTTGGATCTTTGTGAAGGTCAGGAAATTCTTTAAGTAAGCCTCCTAATAGCCTTTGACCAGGGTTGGTAGACAATCACCAGGGTTTCCCTACCTGTTACTGGTTGTTCCTAAAACGGGGATCATGAGAGATGTCCCTGCAGGGTCCCTCTTCTCCCCATAGTTCATATGAGAGGCTGCCCCTGGGGCTACCAGAGAATCGGTGGGACGTAAAATCTTTGAAGTTAGACTCCCTGCTACCTTCTGTTGAGCAAGGGGTAGATAGGGAAGAGAATACAGTAGATTGGAACATGCAGGAGGAGGGAACAGATCTGGTATGGGAAATTCAGAGAGGTTAGGGTAGTTTGAGGGTGAAGGTAGAAGTGGGGGAGGTGCCAAGGAAGAATTAAGGGATTCAGAGGATTTTTCTTTTTTTGAGATGGAGTCTCACTATGTCACCTGGGCTGGAGTGCAGTGGTGCAGTCTTGGCTCACTGCAACCTCCACCTCCTAGATTCAAGCAATTCTCCTGCCTCAGTCTCCTGAGTACCTGGGAATACAAGCGCATGCCACCACACTCGGCTAATTTTTTGTATTTTTTTTTTTTTTATAGACGGGGTTTCACCATGTTGATCAGGCTGGTCTTGAACTCCCGACCTCAGGTGATCCGCCCGCCTTGGCCTCTGAAGTGCTTGGATTACAGGCATGAGCCACTGCACCCGGCCATTTTTTTGTATTTTTAGTAGAGATGGGGTTTCATCATGTTAGCCAGCATGGTCTTGATCTCCTGACCTTGTGATCTGTCCTCCTCAGCTTCCCAAAGTACTGGGATTACAGATATGCACCACCATGCCCAGCCCAGAGGATTTCTTTAAAAGAGATAAAAGACTAGAGAGTTCTTATTTTTTTTTGAGACAGAGTTTCACTGTTGTTACCCAGACTGGAGTGCAATGGCAGAATCTCGGCTCACTGCAACCTCCGCCTCCTGGGTTCAAGCAATTCTCCTGCCTCAGCCTCCCGAGTAGCTGGGACTACAGGCGTGCACCACCATGCCCAGCTAATTTTTGTATTTTTAGTAGAGATGGGGTTTCACTTTATTGACCAGGATGGTCTTGATCTCTTGATCTCGTGATCCACCCGCCGCAATATTCTTTAAAGTAATGTAAAGGTTACCCAACTCATTTCTGCTGGCAATCCATTGGCAAGAAATCTCATGCAAGAGTAACAAAGCTAAGACGTTATTACTGTGGATGAAGACAAAATGATTTTGGGGGACAACGGAGATCTGCCACAGAACTTCTGTTCCTATGTCCCTAATCTTAAATGTGATATCACCATCCTCCCAGGACTTTACACCAGAAATCTGGAGGCCACCACTGATACCATCTTCCGCCTTACCCCTACATCTAATCATTAGTTGCATCTGCCGGATTCTGTATCTTGAGTGTATATCTTTTCATTTGCACTATTACTGCCTTAGTTTGGGTTACTATTTTTCTTACACACTACATTACTATGGGCTTTTAAATGGCTTCTCTGCCTTCATCTACTCACAAACTATTCTTCACACTGCAGTCAGAAGCGTTCTTTCTAAGCCAAAGTTATTCACCTTCTAAAATGAAGGTCTAATTAGGTTCACAAGTCCTCTCCTTCTTCACCCATTCCCCACCTCTAGTATTAATCTAATACTAGGTTAATCAAGGTAATGAAGTTACCTTGGTAATGGAGTAACCAAAGTCATGGGTAACTCCAAATCACATTTTAAGTTAACCCTAGCCAAAGTACTGAATACAGTGGATTTAAACTTGCTTAGTAAAACTACCTCTAATTTAAATTTAGGAATAAATTTGCCTTCTGTGAAAGCCATCCCAAAGTATAAATAAAGTGTAAGTACAGGTATTTAGGCTTACAAAATATCAATGTTATGACCGAAAAATAGGCAAAGGTTTTTTGTTTTGCCTCTTAGTTGAGCTCTCTTTCTCTAACAAATGGAAATAAAGAGAAGCACACAAATTCAAGAAAGGGGAATCTAACAGTCTGAGGACATTGTGGCTTTCAAAAAGGAGAGAACATTTTACATATGAAGGAAATGTCACCTCATCACCAATAATTCACTGTATTCGACAGATATATAAACCCTTCAGCAAATGCTCCTTGGGACGAGAGGAGAGTTAAGTTTTTTCATCTAACAGTCTCTATCACACTCTTTCTAAAAAAACACCTAATACTTAAAACAGTCTAAAGAACACACTGGCTACTCATACCTCCCATAGGCAGAGATCTTGTCTTTTTTGTTCTGCTGTATCTCAGGTGATCAGCAATCACTTAGTAGATGCTAATATATTTGTAAATTCCTCTGGAGTCTCTAAAGACCATATCATGAATAATAAATTCAAATGCCTATATGAGTTGGGCAGGTGATATGCATGAGTAGAGTCATTTAGGGCCGATAACAAAGGTAGCGAAAGCTAGCACGGTAGCTCTCGCCTGTAATCCCAGCACTTTGGGAGGCTGAGGCGGGCAGATTATTTGAGGTCAGTTCGAGACCAGCCTGACCAACATGGTGAAACCCTAACTACTAAAAATACAAAAAAAATCATCCGGGCGTGGTGGCGTGTGCCTGTAGTCCCAACTACTTGGGAGGCTGAGGGAGGAGAATAGCTTGAACCCGGGAGGCGGAGGTTGCATTGGGCCGAAATCACTCCAGCCCGGGCCACAGAGCGAGACTTCGTCTCAAAAAAACAAAACAAAACAAAAACAAAGGACAGAGTACATAAGCCATCTCCAGGCTAGTTTCTTTAACTAGTCTTCATATAATAATCTCCTCAGGTCCTGTTCTATCCCTACAAAATACAAAAGAGTTCCTCGTGTCTTCTTTCAAATATACTAGTCTTCAGCTCATCAGGGTAGCTGAGTTAGTCCAATGCGTAATCCCAAAAGCGAAACTGAATGCCAGAATTGATCTCATTTCAACACTCATTCCAGAAGTAAAAATTTCTCTGCAAGTTCAGCTTCTGACTGTGAATTCTTCAGCGCGACTTTTGCAAAGAGCTCTGTTCCAAGAAGCTGGCGCCTTAACACAAGCTATCTACTGCTGCACAAAGCCAGGTTGGCTTGGGTCCAGATTCGGCGGGAGAGTGGAAACGCGACGCTGGCCGGCTGTAGTCACAAAGGCAATTTCTGCCGAGGGCAAGCATTCCTAAGGAGGGGCCGAGGGAGCGCCAGGCTCGGACATAGGGGCTTAGAAGAACCAGAGCTAAAGCACCTCCCAGAGGGCCCTCCGAGGAGAGGCCGGGCCCTAGCACAGGGCTCAGTCACCCTCCCAGCTCGGAGCCGGCGCTGGATCGTAGCGGCGCGAGAAGAAACCCGTAGAGACCACGAAAAGGCGGAAGTAGCGGCTGACGCTCCCCAGACGCTGAGCGCTGACCGAGACTGATTGTTATCTTAGGACCCGTGAAAGGGGCGGGGCGGAGTTGTACCTCAAAGCGCCTGCGCGGAGAGCCGCTCTCAGGGATCAGGCTGGGAGGTGGCGGGGCTGGACGCGGAGTCCCGCAGGCCTACAACGTGCGCAGGCGCACTCGGCGATCCCGGCTTTTCAGCGCACCAATTCCTTCAAAGGTCTCCGGGCGGGGCCTCTGGGGCCTGGGCGGGGATAAATGTGGAGGGACTGTCCTGCTTTTACTCTCCGCTCGCCGCAGCCCCTGTCCCTGCCATCTCCTCTGATCTACGAAAATCATGTTACCCAACACCGGGTAAGGGGGTGGGAGCGGCGCGGGGAGAGACCCTGTCGGGAGGCGGGCGCGTCTCGGTGGGGCTGCAGTGGATCGCCTGGGCTGGCCCACCCGGTGGTGGGAGGTCAAGGAGGCTGCCTGGGCACACTCCGAGCTGTGGTCCACGCTGGGCGCTGTGCACCGAGAGAATCTGCGGTAATGCGTGAAAAGGAGCACAAAGTTTTGTATTATGGGTGCCAGCAGTGTAGAAACCTTTTCCACGGGTAAAGGGCCGAGGGTGGGTCACCCCGCCGCCCCCTGTGCCGGCCCTCCCCGGAGTTTAGCAGGAGGACTTGCCTGGCCGAATGCGTGCGAGTTCTAGGTGAAAGGTCACAGGAGCAGTTCCAGAGTTTAATGAATTTACACTTGTTCCGAACGCTCAATTCTCGAGTAATAATGGAGTGTTTGAAAAGGGATTTCCAAATTAGAAGCAAATTAAACTGATCTGAAAACATGGGTATCTTTTGGGGATTTTTTTCACCTTAAAAAACTGTGTTAAAATACGTATCAAATTTGCCATTTTTTTTTTTTTGAGACGGAGTTTCACTCTTGTTACCCAGGCTGGAGTGCAATGGCGCGATCTCGGCTCACCGCAACCTCCGCCTCCTGGGTTCAGGCAATTCTCCTGCCTCAGCCTCCCAAGTAGTTGGGACTACAAGCGTGCACCACCATGCCCAGCTAATTTTTTGTATTTTTAGTAGAGACGGGGTTTCACCATGTTGACCAGGATGGTCTCGATCTCTTGATCTCGTGATCCACCTGCCTTGGCCTCCCAAAGTGCTGGGATTACAGGCGTGAGCCACCGCGCCCGGCCCAAATTTGCCATCTTAACCATTTTTTTCAGTATGCACTTTAGTAGTGTTAAGTAGATTCATAGCGTTGTGCAAGCTCCAGAACTTTTTTTATCTGCAAACTGAAACTCTACCCATTAAACAATTCCTCTTACCCAACTCTGCTCATCCACTGGCAACCATCATTCTACTTTCTGGTTTATGTAAGGTGTGGGTGTCTTGAGTTGGGTGATGTGTTGACAGATTTTGTAATTTGCCTGTATGTTTAAGTCTATATAGCCAAAGACTTAAAACAGTTCAAAAAGTGAGTCTCCCCCGCCGGGCGGGTGGCTCATGCCTGTAATCCCAGCCAGCACTTTGGGAGGCCAAGGCGTGGGCGGATCACGAGGTCAAGTGATCGAGACCATCCTGGCCATGGTGAAACCCCGTCTCTATTAAAAATGCAAAAATAAGCCGGCATGGTGGCACGCACCTGTGATCCCAGCTACTTGGGAGGCTGAGGCGGAAGAATCGCTTGAACCCAGGTGGCGGAGGTTGCAGTGAGCTGAGATTACGCCACTGTGCTCCAGCCTGGCGACAGAGCAGGACTCAGTCTCAAAAAAAAAAAAAGTGAGTTTCCCATCCATAAAATCTAGTCCCCCACTTACCTTATGTTATGTTTCTATTTCGTGCATGTGTAACATATTTTGTATACATCCAGACACACACACACACACACACACACACACACCCCTTCTTAAAAATATTAGGAAACTGTATTCTTGCTATTGCTACTTTTAGTTGGTGTGTGTTAGGACATTCTCTTTGTTTTTTTTTTTTTTGAAACGGAGTTTCGCTGTTGTTACCCAGACTCGAGTGCAATGGCATGATCTCAGCTCACCGCAACCTCCGCCTTCTGGATTCAAGCAATTCTCCTGCCTCAGCTTCCCGAGTAGCTGGGACTAAAGGCGCGCACCACCATGCCCAGCTAATTTTTGTATTTTTAGTAGAGACGGGGTTTCACGTTGTTGACCAGGATGGTCTCGATCTCTTGACCTCGTGATCCACCGGCCTTGGCCTCCCAAAGTGCTGGGATTATAGGCATGAGCCACCACGCCCGGCCAAGACAGGGTCTCTTGTGTTGCCCACACTGGCCTCTAGCCTTGAACTCCTAGGCTGAATGATCCTCCCTTCTTAGCCTCTGGAGTACTTGGGATTACAGGCATGCACCACTGTGCCCCAGGGACATAGATTTTTAGTACATGCAGATCTTCCTCTTCCTTTTTTTTTTTTTTTTTTGAGATGGGGGGTCTCGCTCTGTCACTCAGGTTCAAGTGGGGTGGTGCGATCTTGGCTCACTGCAACCTCCACCTCCTGGGTTCAAGCCATTCTCCTACCTCAGCCTCCCGAGGAGCTGAGACTAGGGTTGTGCACCACCACACCCAGCTGATTTTTGTATTTTTAGTAGAGACCGGGTTTCACTATATTGGCCAGGCTGGTCTCCAACTCCTGACCTTGTGATCCACCACCTCAGCCTCCTGAAGTGCTGGGATTACAGGTGTAAGCCACCGTGCCTGGCTCTCTTCCTTTTTAATGATTGCATAATATTCTGAAACAGCTTAAGTATCTATTGTTCAAAATGCTTGGTTTCAGAAGTGTTTGGCATTTCAGATTTTCAGATTGGGTTACTTAACCTGTATATAAATAATACCTTTGTTTATTTAACCTGTTCCCTATTGTTGGATACTAGACTTTCCAGTCTTTTGGATATTCTCTTTGCTTCCATGATTATACTTGTATTTATCTATTTGCACATATGTAAGTGTATATGTAGGATAAAATCCTAGAAGTGAAATTGCTGGATCAAAGAGTAAATGTGGCCTGGCACAGTGGCTCACGCATATAGTCTCAGCACTTTGGGAGGCAGAGACAGGCAGATCACTTGAACTCAAGAGTTCAAGACCAGTCTGGCCAACATGGTAAAACCCCGTCTTCACTAAAAATACAAAATTACAAAAATTACAAATACAAAAAATTAGCTGGATCTGGTGGCAGGCACCTGTAATCCCAGCTACTCAGGAGGCTGAGGCAGGAGAATTGTTTGAACCTGGGAGGAAGAGATGGCAGTGAGCTGAGATTGTGCCACTGCCCTGCCCTTCAGCCTGGGTGAGAGAGTGAGACTCCATCTCAAAAAAAAAAAAAAAAAAAAAAAAAAGAGATAGAGAGAGAGAGAGTAAATGCACTTTATATTTTGATAGATATTACCACATAACCCTCCAGAAGAGGTGCACAACCAAAGGATCAAAGAGATCTCCTGACTTCACCTTCTTGCTGCCTTATGATGAAGATGGCTTGCTTCGCCTTCACCTTCTGCCATGATTGTGTTTCCTGAGGCCTCCCCAGCCGCTCTGAACTAGAGGGTCTCACTGTGTCACCCATGCCAGAGTGCGGCGGCATGATCTGAGCTCACTGCAGGCTCAACCTCCTGGGCTCTAGCAATCCTCCCACCTTAGCCTCCCAAGTGGTGGGGACCACAGACCAAGTCCCTCTTGTTGCCCAGGCTGGAGTGCAATGGCATGATCTCAGCTCACCACAACCTCCACCTCCTGGGTTCAATCGATTTTCTTGCCTCAGTCTCCCAAGTAGGTGGGATTACAGGCATGTGCCACCACATCCGGCGAATTTTTGTATTTTTAGTAGAGACAGGGTTTCTCTATGTTGGTCAGGTTGATCTCAACCTATTGACCCCAGGTGATCCACCTGCTTGGCCTCTCAAAGTGCTGGGATTACAGGCATGAGCCACCGCACCTGGCCAAATTTTTTTTTTTAACGGATGAGAGTTTCTTATGTTGCCCAGGCTGGCCTTGAACTCGTAGTCTCACCTCCTTATGCACCAGGACAACAAGCCTGAGCCACTACGGCTCCCTCTGACGCTTTCAGAGGAGGTTTGCTGACTCCTATCCTTATAGGAAACTTAGGATTCTCTAATTTTTTTCTGTTGCCTATCTTTCATTTTCCTATTTTATTAATAGAATACTTTAGATCCAGAGAGGCCTTACTGAATTCCATAAATTAATTATCTATCCAGAACTAGAACCCACGTCCCTTATTTCTCACCTTAGTACTTTAAGTCATCGTTGTCTTTTGTTGTGGTGGTGGTTGTTGTTGTTGTTGTTGAGACAGAGTTTCGCTCTTGTTACCCAGGCTGGAGTGCAATGGCGTGATCTCAGCTCACCGCAACCTCCGCCTCCTGAGTTCAGGCAATTCTCCTGCCTCAGCCTCCTGAGTAGCTGGGATTACAGGCACACGCTACCATGCCCAGCTAATTTTTTGTATTTTTAGTAGAAACGGGGTTTCACCATGTTGACCAAGATGGTCTCGATCTCTTGACCTTGTGATCCACCCGCCTCAGCCTCCCAAAGTGCTGGGATTACAGGCTTCAGCCACCGCGCCCGGCCTCGTCTTTTTTTTTTTTAAGGCTCATGTTTACAGAAAGAGAGGACCTCAGTGCTTGCTTTAGCAGCACATATACTAAAATTGGAACGATACAGAGAAGATTAGCGTGGCCCCTGTACAAGGATGACACACAAATTCATGAAGCGTTCCAAATTTAAAAAAAAAAAAGAGAGAGAGAGGTCCTCTTCATGGATTTTCCCCCCTATTTTTTAAGAGATTTTCCATATGGTAAATTGGTTCATGATCTAGAAAAGTTTTTCTTTCAGGTTTGCAAACACAGAATGATATCACAATGAAACCTGTTCTAAAAGGCTGCATTTTTACCCAGGTAACACTCCATTCGGTAGGCTATCAGTTTGAAAACCAATGCCAGTGAATAGAAAACAGTTTTTTTCACTCTATGTCTGCTTTTCTCAAGTAACCTAACTTTCCTATTGACTGAAATTTTCCAGAATGTAATTGGCCTTTTTAAAGATGGTTGCTGGCTTTTTTTGCGATAATTTCCAAAGCTTTAATACTGACAGTAAACATTTCAGAAAGTTAGCAATCATATATTAAAGAAGAAAAATATGTCCACAGTAAGTGTCATTCTAATGTGATGTGTGCATCAATTTACTCTTTATGTTTCCAAGATGTGAGGTCTTATTCTCAACCTTGATTTCCTGTAAAAACCAAATGGGATAAAAACTTAAGACTTCAAGCCTACAGTTTTACTTGTGTATATATGCCAAGCCTTCCATGGGTTGGCACAGACCATGATGATGAGACAGCAGCCCCTGCTGCACAATAAAAAACATTGTTACCATTAAAGAAAAAAAAAAAAAAAAAGAGAGATCTCCTAATCCCACATGTTGGCTAACTGCAAAATAGTTAATGCTGAAAATCTAACTAGAGAAAAAAGTGTCACCTCATTATTGTTAAAATTTGCATTTATCGCAAGTGTGTATTTGGATCTTTTTGTATATTTAAACCAGGGACAATTTGACCCCAGAGAACATTTGGTAATATATGAGAAGATTTTTGATAGTCACAATTGAATGGGGATGCTAATGGCAGCCGAGAGTAGAATACAGGGATGCTGGTAAACATCCTACAATGCACAAGCAGCCCCTACAACAAAGAATTATGCAGTCCAAAAGGTCAGTAGTGCAGAGGTTGAGAAACTCTGGTTTAAAGCCATCTATGTATCTTCATATTTGCCTGGCTTAACAAATGAGGTTTTGTTTTGTTTTGTTTTGTTTTTTTTTAGAGACAGTCTCACTATGTTGCCCAGGCTGGAGTTCAGTGGCTATTCACAAGCCCAATCCCACTACTGATCAGTAAGGAAGTTTTGACCTGCTCCGTTTCCGACCTGGGCAGGTTCACCCTTCCTGGTGATCCCCCGCTCCCGGGAGGTCACCGAACTTAGTGCAAACACCCAATCTGCACAGAGCACTGCAGCCCAGAACTCCTGGACTCAAGCGATCCTCCCACCTCAGCCTCCCGAGTAGCTGGGACTACAGGCACACGCCACAGCGCCTGGCAACAAATGAGGTTTTTGATTAATCTCTGAGGGCTCTGTGTATTTTTAAAATTTGTCTTTGGGCCGGGTGTGGTGGCTCATGCCTGTAATCCCGGCACTTTGGGAGGCCGAGGCGAGCAGATCACCGGGTCAGGAGATGGAGACCATCCTGGCTAACACAGTAAAACCCTGTCTCTACTAAAAATACAAAAATTAACAAAGCGTTGTGGTGCGCTCCTGTGATCCCAGCTATTCGGGAGGCCAAGGCAGGAGAATGGCTTGAACCTGGGAGGCAGAGGTTGCAGTGAGCTGAAATCACGCAGAGCAAGACTCGTCTCAATTAAAAAAAAAAAAAAGTCTTTTATCACGTTACAAATATTTTCCACAGTTTTCATGTTGCATATGTACTTTAATTATACTATTTATTTAACATGAAGAAACGTTTGTGAAGCCAGTTACAAGTCTCTTAAGGCTTTTGCATTTTTGTGATAAGCCTTTGAGTTAAACCAAGATCTTTGTTTGTTTGTTTGTTTCTTTTTTTTGAGATGGAGTCTTGCTCTGTAAGCCTTTGAGTTAAACCAAGATCTTTCTTTTTTCTTTTTTTTTTTTTTGAGATGGAGTCTTGCTATGTTGCCCAGGTTTTAGTGCAGTGGTGTGATCTCATCTCACTGCAACCTCCGCTTCCCGGGTTCAAGCGAGTAGCTCCGCCTCCCGAGTAGCTGGGATTACAGGTGTGTGCCACCACGCCCGGCTAAGTTTTGTGTGTGTGTGTGTGTGTGTGTGTGTGTGTGTATTTATATATATATATATATATATATATCCATATAGATGTATATATATATATGTTTTGTTTTGTTTTTTTTGAGACGGAGTCTTGCTTTGTCTCCGGGCTGGAGTGCAGTGGCATGATCTCTCTTCCTCCTTCTCACCAAACTCGTTACTACTCATTTTAAAACCCATTTCCATTTTTACCTCTGACCTCTTACTTCTGGAGTGTAATCCTCTCAGTTATGCAAGAGCTTTATGTTCTTTTATTAACAGACCTGCTAATATATTACCAATCTCAGGTCATACCTTTTGCTTTGTCATTGTCACTTTTGCTCTTCACTCTCCATTCTTTTCCTTAAGCAGACTTTTAAATTCAGCCTTGGAAAGTAAACAAGAAAGCACTTTCCCTTGCTGTTATCTTACTTTGTTATTTTATTCTTTTTTATGAGTTTACTAGGAAATTATTTTAGATGTCTCCTCACTTAGCAACTGAGTAAGCAGAAAGTTTAAGTGAACTTAATGAAATGATGGGAGGCTGAGGTGGGAGGATCACATAAGGCCAGGAGTTTGAGACCTGCCTGGGTAACATACCAAGATCCTGCCTCTACAAACAATATAAAAAAGTAGCTGAGTGTGGTGGTATGTGCCTGTAGTCCCAAGCTACTTGTGAGGCTGAGATGGGAAGATCACCTAAGCTCAGTTCAAGGATGCAGTGAGCCATGATCGCGCCACTGCATTCCAGCCTGGGTGACAGAGTGAGACCCTGTCTCAAAAATAAAATAAAATACAGAAGTTTGAGACCAGCCTTGGTAAGATGGTGAGACCCCATCTCCATTTAAAAAAACAAAACAAAAAAAGCACACAAATAATGAAAAGGGCTCAGGGAACCGTCAGCACATTTGAATCAGAATATTTCAGATCAACCTTCAGCAATTTGGGATTCTTCTTGGTTTGTTTATTTAACAGCTCTTTTGAGATGCGATTCATGTACCACACTGTTCACCCATTTAAAATATGCAATCCATTGGCTTTTAGTATATTCACAGAGTTGTGCAACCATTACCACAGACAATTTTAAAAACTTTTCATCATCCCAGAAAGAAATGCTTCAACCCTCCATTGTCAGCCCCCAATCCCTCCCACTCCCAGCTGTAGGTAACCTCTGATCTTTGTGTCTCTATAGGTTTGTCTATTCTGAACATTTCATATAAATGGCATGATATAATATGTGGTCCTTCATGACTGGCTTCTTCCACTTAGCAAAATGATTTTGGTTCATCCGTGTTATAGCTAACAACAGTACTTTATTGCTAAACATTATTTCATTGTATGCATGACTACACCACATTCTGCTTATCCATTCATCAGCTGATGGACATTTGCGTTGTTTCCACCCTGGTTTTTATGAGCATTGATTGAACAACTGTTTTTAGGTAATTTCTTCAAAGTGGTATTTAGTCATTGTACAAAAGTTGAAAAATATTAAAGAATATAAATAATATAAAATTTATTCATAATCCCAACACTCAAAAAAAAAAAGCTTTATTAACACTTTTTCTGTGGGGGAAACATGCATGTTTATGTAATTTGTTTTATAATTCTTCACTTCTCTTTAAGACTTACTTTGCATTTGAACAGATTTTCTTTGCCGAATCACAGCAAGACTGGCCAACTACAGTTGTCATAAATAATTTATGTCATTGTGCCATGAGAGTACAGTGGAGTTATCTGCCATTCGATGGGCATGGGGAGGGTTTAGAGAAAATTTCACAGAGGAGGAAACATATAATATGAAAGTATGTATGAGCTTCTGATACCTGTCAGTAAATAATTGGGTATTCTAATAAGGTGATATTTGTTCTGTTTTAGGAGGCTAGCAGGATGTACAGTTTTTATCACGGGTGCAAGCCGTGGCATTGGCAAAGCTATTGCATTGAAAGCAGCAAAGGATGGAGCAAATATTGTTATTGCTGCAAAGACCACCCACCCACACCCAAAGCTTCCAGGCACAATCTATACTGCTGCTGAAGAAAGTAAGTGTGACAGTGCCATTTGATGAAATGTCCTCCTAGTGGTTTCAATACATGGAGATTTGCTGGAGAGTTTTGTTAAAGCTATTTGAAAGCTATCTTGAAAATAATTTTATCTAATTAAAGAAGTATGTACGTTGTCACCTTGGGGCAGTGCTTCTGACCATTTTTCTCTTCCAGCACTTTTAAGCAATATGAGAGACTCCAGTTAAAAATATTATGGCCAGGCGAGGTGGCTCACACCTGTAATCTCAGCACTTTGGGAGGCTGAGATGAGTGGATCACCTGAGATCAGGAGTTTGAGACCAGCCTGGCCAACATGGCAGAAACCCCGTCTCTACTGAAAATACAAAAATTAGCCAGGCATAGTGGTGCATGCCTGTAGTCCCAGCTACTCAGGAGGCTGAGGCAGGAGAATCACTTGAACCCAGGAGGTGGAGGTTGCAGTGAGCCGAAATCACGCCACTGCACTCTAGCTTGGGTGACAGAGTGAGACTCAGTCTCGAGAAAAAAAAAATCTTGTTTTATGAGGGCAATGGTTCTTGGATGGGAGGGGGAGTTGAGGAGTGGAGTGGAGAGGAGAGAATTTGATTGGTGAGTGGCGTGGACTCCTTGAAAAAGCTTTCCATGTTATTTATTCTCTGCACAATTTGCAACTCATCATTTTAATACTTTTAGTTGACAAATAATTATCACATGCTTCTATTTAAGGTATGGTGCTAGACACAGAGCCAGGAGAGGGGGCTTAAAAATTCAACTTCAGTTGACATTGCTAGTTTCATTAGTCATATTCAGAGCACTGTGGTGATATTAGAGGAATGCATATGAAGTGCTTATGAGTGAAATGATGTCAGGGATTTGCTTTTTTTTTTTCCACCCAGGTGCGGTGGGCTGAGGCCGAAAAGGGCTTCAGCAAGGGATTTGCTTTAAAACACACCAGCAAAAATAAAATAGGGGAAAGGAAAGATAAAAATCTTGACTGACAAAACTAACAATCACTGAAGTAGGTGATGGATTCATATTAGTTTGTTATAGTATCTTTACATTTTTGTATACTGTAGCATATTTCCACAATAAAAAGTTTTTTAAAATTACTTTCAGCTGGGTGAGGTAGCTCATGCCTGTAATCCTAGTACTTTGGGAGGCCAAGGCAGGTGGATCACTTGAGCTCAGGAGTTCGAGACCAGCCTGGGCAACATGACAAAACTATGCCTCTACAAAAAGTAGAAAAATTAGCCGGGTCTGGTGGTGCATGCCTGTAGTCCCAGCTACTTGGTAAGCTGAGGTGAGGATCGCTTGAGCCTGGGAGATTGAGGCTGCAGTCAGCCGTGTTTGTGCCACTGCACCTTAGCCTGGGCAAGAGAGTGAGACCCTGACTCAAAAACAAAAACAAATAAACAAAAAACTTCCTTTCTTAGCTTTTTTTTAAAAAAAAACTACAAGGAAACCCTTCCCTTTTTTTTTTTTTTTTTTTTTTTTAAAGACTTGGTTTCACCATGTTGGTCAGGCTGGTCTTGAACTTCCGACCTCAGGTGATCCGCCCACCTTGACCTCCAAAGTGCTTGGATTACAGGCGTGAGCCACTGCACCCAGCCCTTTGCTTTTGTTTTTTAATAGTATTGGCCCAGCTAGTCTGTCCTACTATGCGGTAGAGTCACTGGTGGTAAGATAGGTTATTTATACTGATTTTCTGAAACGGGGTACTTTTTTCTTTTGACTGTGACATTGGAATGAAAGGTATAATATTTATTATTTATTTATTTATTTATTTATTTTTAATTAAAAAAAAATTTTTTTTTCCATTTATATAAAAATAGGTTTTAATTAATACAATTAATATATGCAGAATTGAACATCCAATCTCAGGTTGTCATTCAGACACTATCACATCACTCTAGTATAACTATTTGCATATCATTAATCACTCTCTGACTTTTTTTTTTTTTTTTTTGAGACGGAGTTTCGCTCTTGTTACCCAGGCTGGAGTGCAATGGCGCTATCTCAGCTCACTGGGTTCAGGCAATTCTCCTGCCTCAGCCTCCTGAGTAGCTGGGATTACAGGCATGCGCCACCATGCCCAGCTAATTTTTGTATTTTTGTAGAGATGGGGTTCCACCATGTTGACCAGGATGGTCTCGATCTCTTAACCTCGTGATCCACCTGCCTCGGCCTCCCAAAGTGCTGGGATTACAGGCTTGAGCCACTGCTTTCGGCGAAAGTTATAATATTTAAATGCTTTAACGCTTTTTGGTTTTGTGTCCTTAGTTGAAGCAGTTGGAGGAAAGGCCTTGCCATGTATTGTTGATGTGAGAGACGAACAGCAAATCAGTGATGCAGTGGAGAAAGCAGTTGAGAAATTTGGAGGTAATACTTTCATTCTGAAAAAATTATTGAATATTGGTAAAATAAAGGTATAACTATAACGTTAATTTTAAAATTTGTTTTTATTTTTGAATTTTCTGAGTCTTTGGAGAAATATGTATTTGCTCATGTAGAACATGGTTTAAAACCATCTGATGAAGCTGGGCGTGGTGGCTCATGCCTGTAATCCTAGCACTTTAGGAGGCCGAGGTGGGCAGATCACTTGAGGTCAGGAGTTTGAGACCAGCCTGGCCAACATGGTGAAACTCCATCTTTACTACAAATACAAAAATTAGCTGGGTGTGGTGGCAGACGCCTATAATCCCAGCTACTCCAGAGGCTGAGGTGGGAGAATTGTTTGTATCTGGGAGGTGGAGGTTGCAGTGAGCTGAGATTGTACCACTATACTACAGCCTGGGTAACAGAGCAAGACTCTGTTTTAAAAAAAAAGAAAAAGAAAAGAGTGTGGAATGATGAGACAGTGGAGACTAGGAAGAAAGAAGAGATGGAAGCAGATGGATGATGAGAAATTACTTAATGGGTGTGATGTTTGCTGTTTGGGTGATGGATACTCTGAAAAGTCCTGGACACTTCACAATCTCTGTATGTGAGAAAATGCACTTGTACCTTATACATTTATTTTTGAAAAAATTCTTCCTTTATATGCTGAAATCTCATTCTTCACAAAGTCAGTTCCCTCACCATGCCAACTAATTAGAAGTGTATTTTTCTTTCTCTGATTTCTTAAAACATTCATTTGATTCTTATCTTGTAGTATTTTAGATCTTAGCATTTCTTTTCTCCCCAATTAGTTCACAAGTTCCTAGAAGGGAGGTGTTGGGGATTGAGCTAAGAGTTTCATGGTATTGTAGTAGGGCATCTAGGCATGTTGAAGTCCTGCTTAAACCATTACCACTCTCCCTGCTAATATTCTGGAGGACCATATGTATATATGAGGACACTGGTCAGTGGAAAATGAGGTAATATTCAGTGTTAGCAAGGCTGTGCTTGTAATCCCAGTGCACACTGCTGTGGGGTCCTGGACTGAAGCACAGAGCTTTGGCTCAAGTGGAGCCTCTTCCCTTGAATCCAAAATCTTACCCCTACCCAGCAGTCTTTCCCAAAGTCATGTGAATGCTTATGTGAGAAGAGGAGAGAAAATGCAAAATTATGTTCTGTCAAACTGATAGGGCCCTAAATGTAAAGTGTGCCATACTCAAATGCAGGATATTTTATCTAAAATAGCATCACCTATTAGTAAAAGTGGTTAACTAGTGCCACTTAGGATTTGATGTAATTAGTTTATCCACTAGTTTTAGGGAGGAACTAAGGGGAGAAAGCTGAGGCTTTTCATTTTCCCATATTCATTCAGTTTTAGTTCTTTCTTTTGTTTTTTCTTTTCTTTTCTTTCTTTCTTTTTTTTTTTTTTTCTGAGACAGAGTCTCACTCTGTCACCCAGACTGGAGTGCAGTGGCATGATTGTGGCTCACTGTAGCCTTGACCTCCTGGGAGCCAGTCCTCCTTCCTCCAACCTCAGCCTCCTGAGTAGCTGGGACTATAGGCGCCTGCCACCAGGCCTAGCTAATTTTTCTATTTTTAGTAGAGATGGGGTTTCACCATGTGGACCAGGCTGATCTCAAACTCCTGACCTCAAGGGATCTACCTGCCTCAGCTTCCCAAAGTGCTGGGATTACAGGCATGAGCCACTGTGCCCAGCCTTGCATTTAGTATTTAATTTTTTAAAATTGTGGTGAAATACACATAGCATAAAATTTACCATCCTAACTATTTTTAAGTGTACGGTTTAACGACATCCAAGTTTATTATATTGTTATACAACCATCATTAAGTGCACTTTACAAATACTAATGAAGACCAGGTAGAAGCAAAGAAAAATGTTTGACATAGTTTTTGTATTTTACCATTTTCCTTTAATGTTATTTCTCTAAGCATATAACTATAAACAAACTATGTTGCTTATAGGTGGAAACTGATAGCATTTGCAGAAATAGTAGTTACTCTAGATTTATTTTGTTTGTGTGTGTGTGCGTATGAGCCACTAAAACAAAATAGACCCACTTTTATGATTTGCCTGGGATTGAAACAGTAGGTCTTTCTCTTTTCACAGTTCCCAAGGCTAGAAAGGAGCCTTTCCTTTTAAGTGAGGGGTCTTGGGGGAAGGGGGACTACCATGCTTGGAAGGAGGACAGGCCTTTGAAACTTTATGCTAGACAGGAAGAAAGACTTTAAGGAATCTTATCCAAGGTTTATGGAGACAGGGGGGACAACCAGGAGGTAAGAGAATGGATAAGGATGAAAGTTACAAACCACTAAAAACTAAGCCTCCGTGTTGTTTCACAAGGAGCTCTGGCGATTAGCTATATCTCCATTGTGCTAGTGACAGTCATACAGGTGCTATTTTGAAACCTGGTAGATGGTCAGTCACATTATCTAAAAGAAGTATAGTCACACATTGCTTAATGATGGCGATGTGCTCTAAGAAAGGCATTATTAGGTGATTTCATAATCATGTGAACATAAAAGGTACTTACACAAACCTAGATAGTCTGTTGCTTCCAGGATACAAACCTGTCTAACATGTTTCTGTACTGTAGGAATTTGTAACACAACGGTAAGTATGTATCTGAACATATCTAGGCAGAAAAAAGATAGAATAAAAAATACAGCATTATAATCTTAAGGGACCATGTTGTATATACGGTTCATTGTTGACTGAAATGTTAGGTGTGGTACGTGACTGAATTTGTGAATCAACTAAGAGTTCAAAAGAGAGTAAGCACTTTTTTGTGTGTGTGTGATAAAAAGTCTTAAAAATGAAATTGATTATTTTGAAAACAGGAATTGATATTTTGGTAAATAATGCCAGTGCCATTAGCTTGACCAACACATTGGAAACACCTACCAAGAGAATGGATTTGATGATGAGCGTGAACACCAGAGGCACCTACCTTGCGTAAGTTAGAAAGAAGAGTGGTGGGGGAGGATGTTGTCGTGTCTTCTCAGGGAATTTACTTCGTTGTAAACAGATTTGAGCCAAATTAGCACCGTGTTCAAAATCTGGTCAATCCTTATAAAGGTCTCAATGTCCTCCATTCAGTCAATAGTTTTTATTTATTTTATTTTATTTTTTGAGATGCAGTTTCACTCTTGTTGCCCAGGCTAGAGTGTAATGGTACCATCTTGGCTCACTGCAACCTCTGTCCCCCAGGTTCAAGTGATTCTCCTTTCTCAGCCTTCGGGGGAACAGGGATTACAGGCACCCACCACCACACCTGAGCAATATTTTGTATTTTTAGAAAAGACAGGATTTCACCATATTGGCCAGGCTGGTCTCGAACTCCTGACCTCAGGTGATCCACCTGCCTTGGCCTCCCAAAGTGCTAGGATTAGAGGTGTAAACCCACCAGGCCTGGCCCAATAATATTTTAGATCATGCAGAGTTCCTTTTCTCTATGAGTTTAGCAAAGACTAAAGTAGGCTGAACATGGTAGCTCACACCTGTAATTTCAGCACTTCGGGTGAGGGGAGGATCATTGGAGGCCAGGGGTTTGAGACTGAGCTGCATAAGATGGTAAGACACTGTCTCTACAGAAAAAAGTTTTTTTAAAATCAGGCAGACATAGTGTAGTGTGCCTACTGAGACCGTGGTGGTGGTCTCATCTACTCGGGAGGATGAGGCAAGAGGATCCCTTGAGCTCAGGAGTTTGAGGCTGCAGTGAGCTGTGATCATGCCACTGCACTCCAGTCTGGGTAACAGAGAAAGACTCTGTCTTTAAAGAAAAAAAAAAGGACTCAAGTGTAGCTCAATCATTTTCTCAAATATTTGCATGTGTAAATACTTACATGTGTACTGTGTCTTTCATAGGACACAGTCCTCTCCTAGGATTATTTCTGATTTCTCAAGACAACAATAGTATCCTTCCTCTCAAAAAGACCTGGGGTTAAAAAAAAAAAAAAGACTTGGGTTTTAGTTATATAAATAACAGTAAGGCCATTCTCATTATGAGTCACACTTTAATGTGACCAATAAAAAGGCTAATACTTTTTTGGGCATTGTCAGGGAAATATATAATATTGAAGGAAAGAGAACATGGTCCTGATCTGTTCTGGATTTGTCAGACAACCCCTCTTGTTTTCCATTTATTTATTTGTTTATTTACCTTCTGGTTCTATCATTTTCCGTGTGGATACATAGCATAGAACTTGCTTCTGTACCTTCTGTGTATCTTGTTATATGTACAACAGGTGGTTAGGAGCTTGGGCTTTGGAGTAAGACTGCTTTGATTCAAATCCTATCACCCACCCCTCATGACTTTCTATTTTGTGACCTTGGACAAGTAACTTTACTTCTTGCAGATTCAGTTTCTTTACTTTTAAAATGGCAGGAATAAAGTAGTTTGTTACAGGGTTGGTCATGAGGGTTAAATGTCTTAAGTTGTTAAGTTAGTGTCCTGAATTTTGCCCTCAGATGTGTTTTGTTGGGTCTACAAGACTTGGCCCAGACAGTATTAACACAAAATTGTTTTCATTAGTAACCTACATACAAAGTTTTATTAGTTAGGGTCAGGTGTGGCAGTTCATGCCTGTATTCCCAGTACTTTGGGAGGCTGAGGCAGGTGGATCACTTGAGCCCAGGAGTTCGCAGCCAGCCTGGGCAACATGGCAAAACCCTGGTCTCTACAAAAAATAGAAAAATTTGCTGGGGATGGCAGCACACATGCCTGTAGTCCCAGCTACTCGCGAAGTTGAAGTGAGAAGATTGCTTGAACCTGGGAGGCGGACGTTGCTGTTGGTTGAGATCACGCTACTGCACCCCAGCCTGGGCAACGGAGTGAGACCCTGTCTCAAAAACTTTATTGGTTGCTTATGTTGAAAAAATTAGAAGATTTACACAAAAGTTCACATTTCTGGCTTTTCTTGAAATGTGGGAAGATCTGGCCACATAGAAACAGTATTACCACATGGTAACAGTTATTAGTTGCTGTAGCTGAGTGGCTGAGTGGCAGGGTATCAACCGCCTCATTAGATGGGGCCTGAGCTCTACTGTCTTCTGGATGCTGAGAACAGGCTAACGAGTTACCATATCATCGTGCTTGCACTGTTGTTTTTCTTATATGAAAGAGGAAAGTGAAATATTTATCATAACCACATCTCTCTCTGAAGTGGGAAAATGAGACTTATGCCAAGAGGGCCGTATGTTCAAGTAAAATGGGTGAAAGCTTACTTGTTTGTAGATATGAGGCATATTTCTATAAATTCAATATGTAAGGTATGTCTCTATTGAATGAAACCATATTGAATCATACCACAGTAAGAATTATGGCAAATGGCTGGGCATGGTGGCTCATGCCTGTAATCCCTGCACTTTGGGAGGCCAAGGAAGGTGAACCACCTGAGGTCAGGAGTTCAAGACCAGTCAGGCCCACATGGCAAAATCCTGTCTCTACTAAAAACATAAAAAATTAGCCGAGCATGGTGGTACACACCTATAATCCCAGCTACTCTGGAGGCTGAGGCAGGAGAATCGCTTGAACCCAGGAGCGGAGGCTGCAATGAGCCGAGATCACACCACTGCACTCCAGCCTGGGCGACAGAGTGAGACTCTGTCTCAAAAAGAAAAAAAGAATTTTGGCAAGCATATAGATTGTGATGAAAAACTTGTGCTAGAAAAAGAATTCATTTTTCAAGAGTTTGTGTTTATTTTCAAGTAAAATGGGCAATGTTGCTATGTGATACTGTCATGGTACTAGAAAAAATTATCTGGGAATCAAAATCTTTTACAGCTGGCAACTCTGTGAAAGAATTTCAGTTGAATGTAACTATTTGTTAAACAAATGCTTAAAAATATAAACCTAACCAGTAATACTGTTGCTCAGTATGTCGAACTATGGCTTAGTTAAGGGTGTGTTGTGTGAATAAGTTTAATGCTTTGTGGCAGTTTCTATTATAGATGATGAAGCCGCAGAAAAAATATACAGGCTGAGTGTCCCTAGTCCGAAAATCCCCAATCCAAAATGCTCTGAGATTTGAAACGTTTTGACTGCTGACTTGACGCTCAAAAGAAATGCTCATTGGAACATTAAGGATTTCAGATTTTCGGAGCAGGGATGTTGAGCTTGTTGAGTATAATGCAGATATTTCAGAATGAAATCTGAAATACTTCTGGTCCCACGCATAAGGGTTACTAAACTTGTACTACACGCCTAGGTATATTATGGCATTGGAGAATTTTGACGTGATTAAAAGGTTTTAGACTGGATATTCATGACATGAAATGACTTCTATGGTATTGACAGATGTCTTGGAAAGTTTAAAGTAGATTTGTCAAAAGAGCAATCATAACTATAGATACTGGTCAGTGTTAACTTTAGACATTAACATCGAAACGAATGTAGGTATATATTACACAAGGGTACAGAAATTATTTGTTCATTGCATCATTCACTAGGAATTGCTCCCTACTAACAAAGTTAAAAATGTACATGTTTGGCCAGGCGCGGTGGCTCACGCCTATAATCCCAGCACTTTGGGAAGCAGGTGGATCACGAGGTCAAGAGATTGAGACCATCCTGGTCAATGAGGTGAAACCCTGTCTCTACTAAAAATACAAAAACTAGCTGGGCATGGTGGTACACGCCTGTAGTCCCAGCTACTCGGGAGGCTGAGGCAGGAGAATTGCTTGAACCCAGGAGGCAGAGGTTGCGGTGAGCCGAGATCGTGCCATTGCACTCCAGTCTGGGTAACAACAGCAAAACTCCTTCTCAAAAAAAAAAAAAGTACATGTTTTCTTTCCAAGAGATGATCAATACAAATAAAGCATTGAATTTTATGTAGATTTGTCAAAATTAGTAGTCCTAACTATAGACTTGACCTTTTAAACTGACATTATGACTGATGTGTACGTAAATGTATGATTCTCTTTGTTTTTTCCTTGCAAAATTATCTTTGGAAAACCCATTTGGCAAGAATAATTTGGTCCACTTTCCTATATTGAGGTCATTTTTCAAAAATGAAAGTGATGTCTTAACCCATGTTTTTAGATGTGAATGTTCAGTTAAAAACAAAACAGACCACGTGAGGTGGCTTACGCTTATAATCTCAGTACTTTGGGAGGACGAAGTGGGCGGATTACTTGAGTTTAGGAGTTCGAGATCAACCTGGGCAACATAGTGAACCCTGTCTCTATTTTTTCATAAATTAAAGTTAAAATTAAAACTCTAGCACAAAGATTCTATTCACTATTGAAAGTTCCTACCTTTATAAACAGCTACTTAAAAAAAAAACCCACTAAATAAAATTAAATGTTGCTCCCAGTTAAAAGCAGATTGCAATGCCAAGTGAAAGACCTCACACTGACCTTTGGGTCAAAGAAAAGTTTCAGATTTTTGGCCCTCCATGAGAGATATGCTATAAAATGAAAATTCATAATGAAATATTTCTATTTTATTTTATTTTTCGTCCCTGGTAACGCACAGAGGATATTTCCTTTTTTTTTTAATTTATATTTTCAATTTTAATTTATTTTATGCACTCCAGTATTACATTGTTTGTACCATGTTAAATGCTTATAGAAGCTTAGTAGTAGGGTTTAGTTTTATCTCTGAACAGTTGATTTTTCTTATGCCCAGCTCACTTTATTCCTTTACTCAAATGCCTTACAGGCCTTTGAGTTTGCAACCCCGACTAAGTAAAATAATTCATGAAAAGTAATGAAAGCAGAACCTGGCATGTAAGTTTTCTGTAAATGTAACTTTTTATTAGGCTGAAGGTATTAGTATCTAAGTGTGGTGCTAAGCATTTTCAGTATAATCTATAAGAAGGCATGCTACTGTGACGGATGCATCTGATGCAGGATTAACAGCGTAAAGGTCTGCGCCAGCAAAATGCAGATGGAAAGGTTTTATCCCATAGATTAAGGGAAAGTTTATGTTTAGAATGTAAATGAAATGAGCTCTTTCCTTTGAGTGTAAAATATGATCTTATTGACTGGGAATAGATTTGTTTCTTCTTGATGCTTCGAGTTGCAGTTTCACTGTTTGAATGAAACTCAGCTGTAATGTTGTTTGCCCCACTTAACCTCACTTCCATAAAAGTGAAGCATCTTTGGAGATGAAAACAGCATCTACCAAAAACCCTCTTGTGGTATTGACTGTATTTGGTTTAGTAAGCTTGGTAAGGTGTTGCTGTTGTTAACACCAGTGTTGTACATTTGGTAATTTAAAAACTGACTTGAAAGAAGAATGAACTAGTTCATTCACAGCTCCGGGTTCAGGGTAAAGGAAAAAAAAAAAAAAAAAAGAATGAACTAGTTCAGAGTCCTAGAAGTCCTAGAAGTCATTGACTGTAAATGAAAGCTAAACTTATAGCTAAAATAAAGCTATAATATTTTAACTATTGACATTCTTTAAAAATTAACATTTTAGGCCGGGCACAGTGGCTTACGCCTGTAATCCCAGCACTTTGGGAGGCCAAGGTGGGTGGATCACAAGGTCAAGAGATTGAGACCATCCTGGTCAACATGGTGAAACCCCGTCTCTACTAAAAATACAAAAATTAGCTGGGCATAGTGGCGCGTGCCTGTAGTCCCAGCTACTCGGGAAGCTGAGGCAGGAGAATTGCTTGAACCCAGGAGGCGGAGGTTGCGGTGAGCTGAGATCACACCATTTTACTGCAGCCTGGGTAAGAAGAGCGAAACTCCGTCTCAAAAAAAAGAAAAAAAAAATTAACATTTTAGAAATATTGGTCTGAATCTTTTATAAAATAAATTACCCACATTAATGAGTGACTTTTTAAAAATAAAGCTATACATTGGACCCAAAGGCATATTTTATATTGGTGAAAATTAAATTTGGGAATGTAGTGAGTGTTATATTACTAAATTATTGTTCCAATGCAGCGGAAGTACTAGGCCTATTAAGAGGGAAAAAATCAGCATACATTATACTAAAAACAGCGATAGTTTATTTCACTTTTAGTATATACATTGTCCTAAGTATCTCATGTAAATCATCTAATTTTAATCTTTTGGTCAATCATAGAAGGTATCGAGTATTACCAACATTTACAGAGGAGAGAACTGAGCTACACAATTTGCCCAAGGTCACACAATGAAGGGGCAGAGGCAGAATTTGGACACTGGTCTGTCTGACTTGAACCCTCATGTTATTTACCACTGTGCTGACCAACAAGTACATTAACTGTCTGAAAATTACTTGTGTGTGTTGGGGAGGCAGAATTTGGGCTGGTCGTGGTTGCGGATAAAGTTGGGCTTAAGGCTAGTACGTCAAGGAATTGTTTTTTTCCATCAAGCAGATCATGTTGTCAGGCCATTAAGCAGAATTTCAAAGGATGAAAATTAGTTGCTTTTTCTGTCTTTATTCTAGAAAGCAAACAAAAGTACCCTATGAACAAAGCAAATGAATAGTCCCCTACAGATTTCTGAGCAAGTTCTACTCTGTAGGAGTAGTTTAAAATATATCTTTAAAAGTGAATTGGCCAGGCATGATGGCTCACACTTGTAATTCCAGCACTTTGGGAAGCTGAGGTGAGTGGATCGCTTGAGTCCAGATGTTTGAGACAAGTCTGGGCAATATAGCAAGACCCTGTTCCTAAAAAAAAAAAAAGCAAAAACTATCCAGGTAGCTGGACATGCTGGCACACACCTGTAGTCCCAGCTATTCTGGAGACTGAGGTAAGAGGACTTGCTTGAGTCGGGGAGGCAGAGGCTGCAATGGGATGTTATCATGTCACTGCACTCCAGCCTGGCAACAGGGAGACCCTGTCTTTTTTTCTTTTTTTTCTTCCCTCTGAGATGGAATCTCACTCTGTCACCTAGGCTGGAGTGCAGTGGCAAGATTTCGGCTCACTGCAAGCTCCGCCTCAAGGGTTCAAGCGATTCTCCTGCCTCAGCCTCCCAAGTAGCTAGGACTACAGGTGCCTGCCACCACACCCAGCTGTTTTGTATTTTTAGTAGAGATGTGGTTTCACTATGTTGGCCAGGCTGGTCTTGAACTCCTGACCTTGTGATCTGCCTGCCTTGGCCTCCTAAAGTGCTGTGATTACAGGCATAAGCCACCATGCCTGGCCAAGAGACCTTGTCTTAAAATTAAAAGAAAAAAAAATGGAGAAGTTGGCTGGGCTCAGTGGTTTACAGCTGTAAACCTGTAATCCTGGCACTTTGGGAGGCTGAAGTAGGAAGTGCTTGAGCCCAAGGAGTTCAAGAACAGCCTGGGCAACAAAGCTAGACCGTGTCTCTAAAAAAATTATAAAAATCAGCTGGGCATAGTGGCGCACCCCTATATAGTTCCAGCTACTCAGAAATCTGAGGTGGGAAGATTGCCTGAGCCCAGGAGCACAGGAGCTCAAGGCTGCAGTGAACTGTGATTGAGCCCTGTACTCCAGCCTGGGCAACAGAGCAAAAAAAAAAAAAAGAGAGAAATGGTTAGAAAGCTATTAACTTGACTTGTATTTTCTTTTGCTTTCAGATCTAAAGCATGTATTCCTTATTTGAAAAAGAGCAAAGTTGCTCATATCCTCAATCTCAGTCCACCACTGAACCTAAATCCAATTTGGTTCAAACAGCACTGTGGTAGGTATTAGGGTGAGGGGATGGTTTGTGCTTAATTTGTTTTGAATTAAATATGTGTATGCCTGATGTAATCACATCTGCACATAACATTGAGCATTGAATTTTCTATGCCAAATTATAAAGTGGCATTTGGAAGGTAGATTCTTAATCTTTTATATGTAATTTTATAATTGAGGCATAATTTACATTCAATAAAATGCACAGATCTTAATGGTTCAATATGATGTGTTTTGACAAATGTATATAACCAACACCCAAATCAAGATACGGATTTTTGCCATTTCAGAAAGCTCTTTCACTTCCCAATGAGTGTGTTTTTTTGTGTGTAATTTTTTTTTTTTTTTTTTTTTTTTTTGAGACAGAGTCTCTCTCTGTCACCAGGTACCAGGCTGGAGTGCAGTGACAGGATCTCGGCTCACTGCAACCTCTGCCCCCTGGGTTCAAGCAGTTCTCCTGCCTCAGCCTCCCAAGTAGCTGCGACTACAGGTGTGCACCACCATGCCCAGCTAATTTTTGTATTTTAGTAAAGACGGGGTTTCACCATGTTGGCCAGGATGGTCTCGATCTCTTGACCTCATGAGTCTCCCGCCTTGGCCTCCCAAAGTGCTGGGATTACAGGCGTGAGCCACCACGCCCAGCCTTGCTATGTGTAATTTATTCTTCAATGAAGTTGGTTAAAAACTATCTATGAGATACTTTATTTTTCTTAGCCAGGTGTGCACCTGTAGTAATCCTAGCTACTTAGGAGCCTGAGATGGGAGGATCGCTTGAGCCCAGGAGTTTGAGGCTGCAGTGAGCTATGATCATGGCACTGCACTCCAGCCTTGTGACAGAGTGAGACCCTGACTCTAAAAAAACAAACAAACAAAAAACATGACAAAAACAAAACCCTATTACCTTTCATAGCAAACTGATGGTTTAAGGCAAATATGCTAAGCAACAAGATTTATGTATAGGTGCCTCCTTTAAAATAGTCATATCAAACACTTAGTTTTTATTTCAACATAATTCACTAACATTTGGAAAGGCACTTGGAATGGGGACCCACAAAGCAAAACGGAAAGAAGTTCCACTTTCATTGACTAGGTTAAATACATTTGTAGCCTTTTTTTTTGGTGGAACGCTTCACAGATTTGCATGTCATCCTCACGCAGGGGCCATGCTAATCTCTGTATTGTTCCGGCTTTAGTACATGTGCTGCCGAAGCGAGCACTGCAGCCTTTTTTTAATTGTTTTACTAGCGGTAGTTTTCCTTAAAATAATCACTTTCATTCTAAAAAAAACCAAAAAACAAAAACAGTCCAGGTTCGTTGGCTTGTGTCTGTAATCCCAGCACTTTGGGAGGCTGAGGCAGGCAGATCACTTGAGGTCAGGAGTTTGGGACCAGCGTGGCCAACATAGTGAAACCCAGTCTCTACAAAAATACAAAAATTAGCTGGGCATGGTGGCACACACCTGTAATCCCAGCTACTTGGGAGGCTGAGGCACAAGAATCATTTGAGCCTGGGAGGCAGGGTTTGCAGTGAGCCAAGATCTCACCACTGCACTCCAGCCTGGGTGACAGAGTGCAACTGTGTCTCAAAAAAAAAAAAAAAGAAAGCAAAGGAAAAACATATTAAGAGATAACAATGTAATTTGCCCTCATAGTATTAAGAAAAATGAAAGTATATTATTGTCACTTTTATTTTAATCAAATATTAGGAGGGAATATATATAAAATTATTTCATCTCTGTTCACATCTATAAAAACTTTTCATTAGAAAATAGTACGTTTATACAATTATACATTATATTATGTTATTGAAAAGGATTCTCAAAAATATATCAGGGACGCTGGGTGCAGTGGTTCATACCTGTAATCTCAGCACTTTGGGAGCCTGAGGCAGGTGGATTGCCTGAGCCCAGGAGTTCAAGACCAGGCTAGGCAACATGGCAAAACCTTGTCTCTACAAAAAATGGAAAAATTAGCCAGTCTTGGTGGCATACGCCTGTAGTCCCTGCTACTCAGGAGGCTGAGGTGGGAGGGTCGCTTGAGCCCAGGAGGTAGAGGCTGTGGTAAGCCATGATCACACCACTGCACTCCAGCCTGAGTGGCAGAGTGAAATCCTGTCTCAAAAAAAAAAAAGAATATGTGTATACATATGTACATACTTACGTATACATACCTGTGTGTGTGTTACTATTTTCTTCCTGATATATATGTGTGCGAGGGTGTGTTGTATGTATATACACACGTCATATATATTAGGAAGAAAATAGTAATAGAAAGAAATTGGTTATATTAATTTCTTTTATAATTAAATTATTATTTTTTGTGATTCTTTCAGCTTATACCATTGCTAAGTATGGTATGTCTATGTGTGTGCTTGGAATGGCAGAAGAATTTAAAGGTGAAATTGCAGTCAATGCACTATGGCCTAAAACAGGTATGTACTTTAAAAAAACTTCATTTGTTAAGATTTTCATGTATTGTCCTTGACATTCTTTTTTTTTTTTGAGGCAGAGTCACCCAGGCTGGAGTGCAATGGAGTGATCTCAGCTCACTGCAACCTCTGCCTCCCAGGTTCAAGCAGTTCTTGTGCCTTAGCCTCCCAAGCAGCTGGGACTAGGGGCGCACACAACCATGCCCAGTTAATTTTTTGTATTTTTAGCGGAGATGGGATTGCACCATGTTGGCCAGGCTGGTTTCGAACTCCTGTCCTCAAGTGATCTGCCCACCTTAGCCTCCCAAAGTGCTGGGATTACAGGCATGAGCCACCACGCCCGGTCTGTCCTTGACAGGCTTGAGGTGCACCTTGGGTGTGATGGGGTAGGAGTGTGTAGACTGTTAACACTAACTTTAATCTGTTTGTTGGGAAACAAGTTCAACTTTTTATTGTACAACATAAGATCCTTTTCAATCATCCTCCAGCCTTGGCTTAGACTACATGAGTGACTCTTCAGCCAAAGTCTTTGTGGGAACACTGACCACTGAACACTATAAAAGTCTCTTGAAGGTCAACAGGAGATACTGCACTTCCCCAACTCTTTCTCCATCTTTGTTTCTGGAACCTTCCTAATTCTGCAGATTCTCATACTTTTATTTTCTCCTCACACATTCTAACAAACGCTTTTTAACATTTTTGTATTCTTACTGCCCTTGCCTTTTTCCTTTAGAACAAGCTGGATTATGTTTACTTTCACATGAATTCTTCCGAATTCACAGAATGCCTGGAGCCCTGTGAGAGGACAGAAGAACCTGTGTATGCCTGGGCTTTGTATGCAAATGCTATAACAGAAGTTGATGGCTTCCTTGCTGGGCAATAAGATATATAAAAATGAGGGAAAGCCAGCAAAAATGAGAGAAAAGGAAAGCCTATCTTTCTTACAGGTTCTTACTCTCCGCTTATATCAAAGTAGCTTAAAGGAAGAAAAAGAGACGATAACATTTCACTCTACATTTTTCCATGTACTAGTGGGTAATGCCATGAAAACTTTAATTTCTTTTCATCTTAAGTGTAAATGGTGCCAGGTGTGGTTACAGATGGCCCACACAATCCCAGCATTTTGGAAGACCGGATGGGCAGATCACTTGAGGCCAGGAGTTTCAGACCAGCCCATGCAACATGGCAAAACCCCGTGTCTACTAAAAATATGAAAAATTAGCCAGCTACATGCGAGGCCAAGACATGAAAATCACTTGAACCCGGGAGGCAGAGGTTGCAGTGAGCTGCGATCGCACCATTGCACTTCATCCTGGGCAACAGAGTAAGACCCTAGCCCAACAACGGCAATGACAACAACAAAATATGTAAATGGCAGTCACATCCCAGAAAAGTATGTCTAATGATAAAGAGAATACATAGAGGGATTGGTGTGGTGCCTCACTCCTGTAATCCTAGCACTTTGGGAGGCTGAGATTGGGTGGGATGATTACCAGTCTGAGACTAGCTTGGGCAACATAGTGAGGCCTCTTTAAAAAAATTAGCTAGATGTAGTGGCGCACACCTATAGTCCCAGCTGAGGTAGGAGAATCACTTAAGTCCAGGGGTTTAAGGCTACAGTGAGCCATGGTCATGCTGTTGAACTTCAGCCTCGGCAACAGAGTAAGACCCTATCTCGACCCATTTCCCATTTGACCCGAGAATACTCTTGTGTCTAATTCTAATGTAACATCATATACATTTCTGTTACATTAGGGTTAAAGACAAGGTCTGTTTAAAAATAACTCAACAGTTTTTTATATTTTTATGTTGAAAATCAGATTTGTTTCAGCCTCAAAGTCTGTGTTTATGTAAAATTAGATGAGCTCTGGCAGTAAGCTGTACTTTTTTTTCCCCCTAAATGGGAAGTGGGTTAAAAAACAACAACAAAAAAAGAGAATGCATAGTGGGAATCACATTTTTATTTCATTCTTTAAAAGATTACAGGCCAGATGCAGTGGCTCATGCCTGTAATCCCAACACTTTGGGAAGCAGAGGCAGGATGATTTCTTGAGCCTAGGAGTTGAAGACCAGCCTGGGCAACAAAGAATTAGGTTAGCTGGGCACAGTGGAACATGCCTGTGGTCCCAGCTTCTTGTGAGGCTAAGATTGTAGAATGGCTTGAACCCTGCAGATCAAGGCTACAGTGAGCCATGATCATGCCACTGTACTCCAGCCTTCTGAGACAGGACAGAGTGAGATCCTGTCTCAGAAAAACAACAAACAAACAAAAATTCAACAGAACTTTGATTATACTCACATTGGAATTTAAATAGAAAAAACAATGTGGCCCTTGTACAAAGAATCACCTTAGGGATCAACACTGGTGTCTCTGTTCCTAGGGTAGTGCTCTGCCCATAATGGTCACTTAGATATTTGTAAATGCATGATATTTTTGGATCCCTTTGGAAAGTCTTCATAATCTTCATTACATTGATTTTTTTTTTTTTTAAAGTGGAAAGGGGGTTTTGCCATGTTGGTCAGGCTGGTCTTGAACTCCTTGGCTCAAGTGATATAACCTCCTTGGCCTCCCAAAGTACTGGGATTACAGGCATGAGCCACCGCACTGGCCTCATTATATTTTTTGAAAACACTTCTATTGATGGCAAATCGGAATCTTTTTCACTGAATTTGCCAGCAGAGAGGGTTTCTAGGAAGACAACTACTGGAAGTCATGTCCCTGTTGTCCTTCCCTTTCCCCAGATTGGAGCAGCTGCTAGGGTGAGGGCAGGCAGGACTAGGAAGGAGTAAGTGAGACTTGATTCTGTAAGAGAAGGAACTGAGAAGCTTGTGACTTTGTTCTCTCTGAGCTAGAGGACAGAATGGAGCCAGGTGAGAGAACTGAAGAGAGAACAGATACTCAGAAGTTCCTGGAAAGGGCTTAGATCATGGAGATCTGAGGATTCAACAGGGTGGCTCTACAGGCAAGATAAGTATTTCCTATCCCTGAGGTGTGGAAGTGAGGAGACCTGGGAGAATTCAAGTCCAAAATAGATTCAATGATTGGTACTTCTGATAAGATAACTTACTATGCTGGCACTGCTGGCATCCTTTCAACTGTCCTGGGAGACAGAGCTAGACTCTGTCTCAAAAAAAAAAAAACCTATCTAAGGGTAAAAAGAAAAATTGCAGTACAGCTAAGAGAACCCAGTATCCAGACATAGAAAAAAATGAATAGAACACCTAGAATAGCAGTTTTCAGTGAAAGAAAACTGCTAAAGAAACAGAAAACACCTCAATTTTTTAAAAAAAGTAATGACCTAAGAGATTGAATTATCATATGAAAAATGCTTTCTGGAACTAAAAATAGATTGTGTTTAAATATATATATATATGTATGTATGTGTGTATATTTAGTATATAGTAGTTGAAGGGTTGGATGTTGGATAACACCTGAGTAAGCAGCTTGAATATTCTGGTGCAAGAAATATCTCAGAAGAGCAAAAATACCCTAAGGAAAAGGGAGAGAGACTTAGAGGACACATCTGGGGAACTTCACATTCAAATATCAGGAGTCCTAGAAGGAGGTCTGGAAAGAAAACAAATAGAGGAGAAACAATCGAATGAATAATAGGAAACAATTCCCTTGAGCAGAAGAAAGACTGATATGCTTGTAGATGGAAAGGTTTACCAAATTTGAGGCTGAATTTATGAGGGTGAAAAAGACATCTGGGAGAACCTCAGAATTTCAAGGATAAAAAAATCTTCCAAGCCTTCAGGCAGAATATATGTTGCTTACAAACGAAAAAGATTGCAGTCTTTTATCTTCAATGCCAGAAACTAGAAAGCAGTGGAGTAACATCTGTACCTTACTGATAGAAAGGGACTCAGCCAAGATAGTTATTTATTGACAAGATGAAGGGAAGATATGTGGATATGCTACCACACTTGAGAAGAGTCTTGTAGCAAGGGCTCTTAACCAAGCAGCAAATCTGTCAGAACAGAGACTTTTCAAGATAGGAGCAGAAGTAAAGAGAAGAGGAAATAATGGCTAGGAAATAACCTGTAGTATATTTAATACATGGTCAAATATAAATGGATCATACAGAATAACTGGGAATGTTAAATATAGGTATCAAATAAGAACTCTCTATGTTGAAGAGATAGGATAAGGTAAAAGTTTAATAATAGTCTCTAGCCAAAAGCACTACACTGTCTTTAAAACCTAGAATTTGGGGAAGAGGGAGATGTGGAAGTCATTGAATTCCTTTTTTTGTTTTTTTGAGACAGAGTTTTGCTCTTGTACCCCAGGCTGGAGTGCAGTGGTGCAGTCTTGGCTCACTGCAACTTCTGCTTCCTGAGTTTGAGAGATTTTCGTGCCTTAGCCTCCTGGGTAGCTGGGATGACAGACATGCGCCACCATGGCCATCACACTTTTGTATTTTTAGTAGAGAGGGAGTTTCACCATCTTGGCCAGGCTGGTCTCAAACTCCTGACCTCAGGTGATCCACCTGCCTCAGCCTCCCAAAGTGCTGGGATTACATGTGTGAGCCACTGTACCAGATGGGAAGTCACTGAATTCTAAAGGACTCATATGAGCATGGGAAGACTGGGGAAGGGAACACTTTCTAACCATTTCGTTTTGAGGCAGCTACAATTCTAGATGGTATCTTTGTTGTTGTTGTTTGTTTTTTGAGACAGGATCTCACTCTGTTGCCCAAGTTGGAGTGCTTGGCTCACTGTAACATCTGCCTCCAAGGCTCAAGTGATTCTTGTGCCTCAGCCTCCCAAATAGCTGGGATTATAGGCACCCACCACCACGCCCAACTAATTATTGTATTTTTAGTAAAGATGGGGTCTCACTATGTTGGCCAGGATGGTCTCGAACTCTTTGACCTCAGATCATCCACCTGTCTTGGCCTCCCAAAGTACTGGGATTACAGGCCTGAGCCACTGTACCTGGTCTAGATGGTATCTTTTAAAAAAATTATTTTCTATTTGGTGCTAGGGTGTAGAAATGTTTT